GCCCGCCAAGTTATTTTGCACTAACCCTCTAATTGCTATAATTGCAGGTTTTATTTAAAAGGCAAAGTCATACTCCAACTTTCAGCAGACAATCAGAAATGTGCCATTCCTTCCAGCCTTCAGATTCAAAGACATTTATACATTGTTTCAATTAAAATGCAAACCGTGTTGGTGATTTTTAAACTGAAGTCAGGACTTTTTATCAACGTGACCCATATTGTTTCACTCGTTTATTATATCCTACTACAGCCAATAACTAAAACGGCAACTCACCAAAGAGGAAACAAGTTTTTACTCGGTCAAAAAATGAACAAGATGCGCTCGATGTGGTGAAAAAACTACTACTAATCAATCAGACAGTATGTGTGTTGGACATGTGTAGAGCCTCAACGAGCTTGGAGCATCTCTCTAAATGTGGAGAGTCTGTTCGCTGCCGTTTTCGTCTGTCCTACAGCAGTGAAGTAGAAGTTGGCAGCGACAGTGAAGTTGTTGGAAACAGTGAACACAGCACTTCTTCAGCAGAACAATCCATTCAACCCATTCGAACTTGTACCTGTACGGCCTTGCTTTCCATGCTGCCATGCATTGTCAGTCTCCACCTCTTTAGCTTTTACACTTGCCAGCAAGAGGAACAGCTATTACTGGCGGTATTTAGCAAAGCACCAACATTTCGTCATTTCATTCATTGCTGCTGGCGGCTTCAGCGGTGGAAGCCTTTGTAGACAGCTTTTTTTCTCTGTTGATTCGGCAAAAAAGTCTACCTCGCGCCGAGCTGTTCTCTTCAGTGTGCCAATATCAATTTTATCTACCTGTGGACTTTACGTTACTTCTACAATTTTTAATATTTTATTTTATTTGTAAAACGTGCAGTTTTTTCCATTTTAATCTTTGATATCATGCGGTGATTTACAATTCACCCACCACCATCGACCTTGGACAGACATTTGTGCAAGAGGCATCTCCAATCTCTGTGTCGAATCCGTGTTTCAGAGGCATTGTAAGTGCATATTTGTATTTTATACTGCCCTAAATGTGCTTGTNATTTTATCTACCTGTGGACTTTACGTTACTTCTACAATTTTTAATATTTTATTTTATTTGTAAAACGTGCAGTTTTTTCCATTTTAATCTTTGATATCATGCGGTGATTTACAATTCACCCACCACCATCGACCTTGGACAGACATTTGTGCAAGAGGCATCTCCAATCTCTGTGTCGAATCCGTGTTTCAGAGGCATTGTAAGTGCATATTTGTATTTTATACTGCCCTAAATGTGCTTGTCACAGGCTTTTACTCGTTTTTATCTTATCCCCATGACTAACTTTAGTTGTATTGCTTTATGACTCTATTTCCTCCATTGGTACGGAATACGTACACTCCAAGAGAGGTTTCAGAATGCTTCCATTTTTGTCTAATTCTTTGCCACCGCCTAGTGAAAATATTCTATTGTATACAATACAGTTTTTTGCAAGTGTCCGCCAATTGCCTAGTGGAAATCATCAACAANATTCTTTGCTACCGCCTAGTGATCATATTCTATTGTGTACAATACAGTTTTTGTGCAAGTGTCCGCCAATTGCCTAATGGAAATCATCCACAACGACACGATTACGTTTGTCCCTCTTTTGTCACTTAAAAGTTGCACTTTCAAGTGCATTTTCATCTGTTTCGTTCACATCAGATATGTACTACATTTGCACTTGCTTGCTTTGTCAGCCGCTTACAGCTTCAAGGTACAATGAGCGAGGGGGTTCCACTTGAAAACAGATAACGCCTATGCTGGTGATTAATAATCGATTAGAGGTGTTAACATTGTCGCTAATTAGAAACCGGCAATTTTTTGCTATAAGATATACAAAGTTTTTTTCTAGAATGATAAGAAACAGTTGTTTTGCGAAACTAAAAGTTGCTTATGCAAATGTCGTAGTTTTGTTGATCCATGTCACTTGAAAGAGGCGTTTTTTTGGCGTTTGCACTGCCCGGTCAGGGACATATTCTGTCTGGGACACATTTTGTACTTTCGATCGGTAGATCTATGGATCTTTTCTCTGAATTGTAGGTTGATCCTTTAGATTCTATAGCGACGCGCTTTAGTATCAGCTCTCTCACTAATTCATTCTATCCACTTTTTCCCCTCGAAGTACATTGCAGTGCTATTGTACTGGCAATAATCTGATAAAGCTATGGCTTATTTATTGCAACCTAAAGATGCTCTTTAAGTATTGTGAAACGCACTTGTCTGGTCATATGCAAAATATAACTTACAGCTTCTATTTCTAGTTTTGTGTACTCCAGTTCATCACCACTGGCTGACAAGTGTGATAAATCAATTGTTTTGGAGGGCTAATCTAAATGGTCTTTTCAGATTCATCTCCCACTCACTCCTTCTCACAGCTCCCATGGCTCTTGTATCACAACCCTCTCTCTGTCGTTTGTAATAATGTTCCACTGTGTCCGATGCAGCTGATGCATTGCAATATCAAGTGAACGCCGCTCTGCTACATGGCCGAGCAATTAACTCAACGTAGTTAAAACGATGTAACTACGACCATGAGAGTTCACAAAGTCATTATCCTAAAAGAAAATGTCCGTCCATACACTTTTGCTGTTGAACTTCTTGAACAGAGGCTGCTTATCTCACTTTTTAGATGCACTTCTTTTTATTGCTTTACCTGTNCCTAAAAGAAAATGTCCGTCCATACACTTTTGCTGTTAAACTTCTTGAACAGCGGCTGCTTATCTCATTTTTTAGATGCACTTCTTTTTATTGCTTTACCTGTACGAATTTTATGCTTAGGTTCATTTTGTCCACGCATTTTACCTACTGTACTTATCACATTTGCACTGCACAGTTCAAAGTGGNTCTACATGGCCGAGCAATTAACTCAACGTAGTTAAAACGATGTAACTACAACCATGAGAGTTCACAAAGTCATTATACTAAAAGAAAATGTCCGTCCATACACTTTTGCTGTTAAACTTCTTGAACAGCGGCTGCTTATCTCACTTTTTAGATGCACTTCTTTTTATTGCTTTACCTGTACGAATTTTATGCTTAGGTTCATTTTGTCCACGCATTTTACCTACTGTACTTATCACATTTGCACTGCACAGTTCAAAGTGGGAGAATATAAAACCAATCATCTTTCCATCTTTCCTCTACTTTCCAACAGCATTCAAAATTTTAAATATTGTGCAAATAATAGTTGGTCTCTTCAGTCATGGACATAGTTTGGCTTGGCAACGACTTCTGCAGTGGCCCCTTTTGGGTAAGTCATCAAGCGGAAGTGTGCCTGCTCATCATAATCAACTTGTGTGCTTTTTCTATTTTTTAGAACCAAACTGAGACCTGGTACACGACTAGTCCCGCTCTGACACCATGCTTTACCGACACGGTGATGACCTGGGCGCCGGCACTGCTCCTCTGGCTGTGCTTTCCCTGGACGCTCTTCGACTACCTCTCCTCGAAGCGGCAGATGATCACCTGGAACCGCTTCAACCTCCTCAAGCTGACCATCACCTCAGTGCTGGCCATTGTCGGCGCAGCGCACGCCATCTACGTCATCGTCCGCTGGGCGCAGCGAGGCGACCTGAACGACCCGACCAGCGCCGAACTCCTCAGCACCATCATCTCCTTCTTCACGTACTGCCTCTTGGTGGTGTTCGTCCACCTGCAGCGACTCTACGGCTTCGTCAACGGCGGCGCCATTTGGTTTTACCTCTTCTTTCAGATCATCTTCACTGCACTCTCCATTCCCACGTACCTCCAGAACCCGGAGCACTACGACTCGACGGAGCAAATTCTCGTCTACCTCGAGCTGGGCATTTTTGTCGTCCTCTTTGTCGTTACCTCCTTTCCTGATCAAGTTCCTAATCTGAACGAGCTTCTATCGTCCAGTAGTCTGTATGGTCATGACGCCGACGGCTACCTGATTGCCAATGATGATGAGGCGGAAGAGAGCGACGGGGAAAAGGTGACCAAAAAGAAAAAGAAAATATGTCCCAAGGAAACGGCCTCTTTTCCCTCGAAGCTCTCCTTTTGGTGGTTCAACTCACTCGCCTTTCTCGGCTTTCGTCGCCCGTTGACGGTCGATGATCTGTGGCAGATTCGCCGCGTTGATCGTGCCACCAGTCTGTTTGCGCGCTTTAACACCTTCTGGCGGCACAAGTCATTCACCGGCAATGACGCTGACAGTAAGGGAGCAAAGCAGACGAAGGTGTTCTCGGGAAGGCCCGAACGGATGAACTCAACCAGCGAATCATATGAAGACTCAAAGAAGCACTCCTACTCTATGAGCGACTACAATCAGCTCTCCTCGAATGGCAATCACACGACCGAGGACGCTGAAAGTGATTTCTCCAACGTCGAGCCACCTCCCAAGATCAATGTCATGTCTCTACTGGCCAAGCAGTTTTGGCGCTACTTCATCTTTCCCTCTTCGGCTCGATTCATCACCGACAACCTGCAGCTAGTGAACCCTATTGTGATGAAGTAAGTCGGCTTTTGGATTACTTAAATCTCTCACCATTCTAACCTGTAACCCCACTTGCAGATATATGATTGCTTTTACCTCCGATCAGGAAGCGCCATTCTGGCAGGGCATCTTCTACACGATGATATTTGTGGTGGTCAACGTCTTCAGCAGCATCACTTCTGCCTACCAGCAACACCGCATGAGCATTCTGGGAATGAGAATTCGAACCTGCCTTTTGGGCTCCATTTACCGAAAGTCGCTCGTTTTGGCGATGCACGCCCGAAAGGACTACACCACCGGTGAAGTGGTCAATCTGATGGCTGTCGACTCGCAAAGGTGCGTTCTGTTATGCCTAATAGTTTGCCGAGTTTGCTATAATCCCAACCACTAAACAGGTTCATCGATTTGCTCCCCTGGTTTTGCTACATTTGGACGGCACCAGTTCAGATTGGCATTGCACTGTGGCTGCTTTGGGGAGAGCTGGGCATCTCCGTTCTGGGCGGTCTTCTTCTGATGATTCTCTTTATTCCCATCAACGGCTACATTGCCGGCTTGGTCAAGAAGATTCAGACGAAGCAGATGGCACTGAAGGACAAGCGACTGAAGGCAATCAACGAAATGCTGAACGGAATGAAAGTTTTGAAGTTGTACGCTTGGGAGGTAAATGAGGAAAAGGGTGTTGAAGGCGTTTGCAGTGCTCTAACACACTTGTACTTATAGGAAGCATTTATCAAAAACATTCAAGCCATTCGAGTTCAGGAGCTCAAGTACATTCGCCTGTCGGGTTACATTTCCACCGTGTTCAACTTGATTTCCGCCTGCTCGCCGTTCATGGTTTCCTGTCTCACTTTTACCATCTTCCTCTTTATTGACCCGGAGAAGAACAAACTGACGCCTGAGAAGGCCTTTGTTTCCATTGCCCTCTTTAACTTGTTGAGGTATGTTGCGTCCACTTGTTTTTAACGGATTGAGCTGTAACTTGTGTTTATTTTCAGAATTCCACTGGCTGTGCTACCAAACATGGCGACCAACTTGATCATGACTCTGGTTTCAGTAAAACGTCTAAACAAGTTCCTCAACTCTGATGAAATTACGCCCTACATTCACCGAAAGGTGGACAAGGTGAACGCCATTACTGTGTCCAACGCTTCCTTCAACTGGGACCAGGTTGAGAACCACGAAGACTCAGCAACAAAACAAGAGAAGGCTCCTCAAGTCACAACCAATGGCGAGTCAAAGGCGCCCTTTGTTGCTCAGATCACCCTGTCTCGACTGAATCTAAATGTGGCCAAGAACTCGCTGGTGGCCGTGGTCGGCTCAGTTGGCAGTGGCAAATCGTCGCTGCTGTACTCGATTTTGGGCGAAATGAATCGCATTTCAGGGCGGGTCAACATTAGCGGCGACCTGCGACTGGCGTACGTCTCCCAGCAGGCGTGGATTCAAAATGAAACCGTCCGAGGGAACATCCTCTTTGGGCTGCCCTTTGAGGAGGACAAGTACAATCGGGTGATTGAAGCCTGTGCTCTGAAGGCCGACTTGGAGATGCTCACGTCGGGCGACAGCACCGAGATTGGCGAGAAGGGCATCAATCTGAGTGGCGGGCAGAAGCAGCGCGTTTCAATTGCCCGAGCCTGCTACTCGGACGCTGATTTGTACCTGTTTGACGACCCGCTGTCTGCCGGTAAGCTGAAGGTTTCACCAAGTTTAGTTGTTTTGCTAATAGTTCAATCTTTCTTTTCAGTGGACAGCCACGTTGGCAAGCACATCTTTGACGAGGTGCTCAGCTCGCAGACGGGAATTCTTAAGGGGAAAACACGCGTACTTGTCACCAACGCACTTTACATGCTGCCGAATGTAGATCAGATTGTGCTCCTGAAGAACGGAACAATTGATGATGTCGGAACGTACGATGGCCTGCTCAAGAATAATCCAGTCTTTCACGAGCTCATTTCAAGCTACACCAACTCTAACTTGGAAGAGGAGGAGGTGGTGGAGAAAGGTGGAGAGAAGGTGACTGCATCGAATTTGGGCGATGAGGCGGATGACCACTTTGACATTGACGAGCTTCGAGATGCTCACGCCGAGTTGGTTCGCTCCATGAGCATAGGCAGCTCCGCCTCGGCGGCCAAGGAGCGATCAAAGTCGACGCTTTCCATTGTCAGTCAAAAGCAGCCCAGTCCTTCTAAATCGGAAAAGGAGAGCAAGGCCAAGCTGGTGGAGGCGGAGCACGTGGAGACCGGACAGGTGACCTTTGCAGTGTACCTCAAGTTCTTCAAGTCACTGTCTCTCTTCTGGACGGTGATGATTCTGGTCAACTACCTGCTCATCATCACCGCCAGCACTGGTTCCAACTTTTGGCTGAGGTACGACCACTTGACCTACTGTTGCATATCTAATCAATCTAATCGTTTGAACTCCATTCATTTTTAGCAATTGGACCGACTCGAAGGACGCTAATGAGCGGTCGCACTTCTACCTGGCCATCTACTTTGTCATCGGCATGACGCAGGCTTTCTTCGTGTGCGTCGGCTGGATCTCCATTGTGCGCGGCACCATTCTCGCCTCCACCACGCTGCACTGGCGACTCCTGAGCAGCATCGTCCACGCGCCGATGTACTTCTTCGACACGACGCCGTTAGGGCGCATCGTCAACCGCTTCAGCAAAGTAATGAGTTGTTTTTAAACTTTTAGACTTGGATTAAAAACTAAAAACCCTTTTAAATTCTGCAGGATATCGACGTTCTGGACTCCTACATACAGTTCCTCCTTCGCGTGCTGCTGAACACCACCTTCCAGGTGGCGGCCANCCTCCACCACGCTGCACTGGCGACTCCTGAGCAGCATCGTCCACGCGCCGATGTACTTCTTCGACACGACGCCGTTGGGGCGCATCGTCAATCGCTTCAGCAAGGTAAGATTAAATGAGCTTTTTAAATCTAGGCTAAAACTTAGACACTCTAAAACACTACAGGATATCGACGTTCTGGACTCCTACATACAGTTCCTCCTTCGCGTGCTGCTGAACACCACCTTCCAGGTGGCGGCCACCATCATCATCGTGTCCATTCAGACGCCGCTCTTCCTCGCCGTGGTCATTCCCTTTGTGGGCATCTACTTCTTCATTCAGCGCTTCTACGTAGCCACCTCACGGCAGCTGAAGCGCCTCGAGTCGGTGACGCGCAGTCCCATCTTCACCCACTTCTCCGAGACCATCCAGGGCGTGTCCACTATCAAGGCGTACAGTGCCGCCCAGCGGTTCATCCTCGAGTCGGACCACCGCGTGGACACGAACCAGCGGTGCTTCTACCCGAACGCCGTCGCCAACTGCTGGCTGCAGGTGCGCCTCGAGTTCATGGCCAATGCGCTCATCTTCTTCGCCTCCCTCTTTGCGGCGCTCTCCAAGAAGACGAGC